ATTGCTCTCTATTTATAATAAATTAATACATAGATGGATATAACAAATAAATCAAATATATCTTATATGTCCAATATATCAAATATATCAAATATGTCCGGTATATCAAATATATCAAATATGTCTGACATTTAGATCTGCAATATGCTGTGCCACGTTCGTCAATCCAATCCTGTTACATTATAAATTAAATTTTAAAAAATTAAAAAATATATATATACTTTAGTAAAAATTTTAAATTTATTATAGCAATTAATAAAAGATTTCATTAAATTCTTTCTAGAATGAGTCCCATTTAATTTATAAAATCAACTAAAATTTTTACTAATTTCTATTCTTTTAAAATCCAATAAGTTGTAATCTTTAAAAAAGGAATATAATTAATTGATATTCACACATATCAATTGTAAATGATATATGACTAGAAACATTTTAAAATAAAAATAAATATTAATATTAAATTTATATAAATGAAAATAAAAAAATAATTATTTGTAAAATATCTTGAATTTTTACATTTTTTTGATTAAAATATTTTATTATATTTGCATAAATAGTATTAGCTGAAGGTATTTTAATATTAAAATTTAACATCTAAAATCAATTTTACGAATTTTCTGATTCAAGAGTTTAAAAAAAGTTGATTATTACAAATAATCTATTTAGAAATATGTTTATGAAATACAGCTAGAAAATACTATATAAATTATATAAATTTTAATATTTAATAAATATATAAAATATTTTTTAAATTAAATTTATAGATAGTATTTTATTAATATATTTACTTATTGCTCCTTTTATTTCTAATTTTTCTAATTTAACAAGATGGTTATTTTTTAAATATTGATGAAAATTACTTGTAGCTTCACTAGTATGCTTATATTTTATATAAGAAGCAAAAAGAATGTTAATAGCATTTTAAAAACAAAAAAGAAATAAAAACAATATCTTTACATCACTTACCTTTATAGCCCAAGTCAAAATCTAGGTTCAGGAAGATGTTTTCTTAAAAAAAGAAGCAAAAGAAATATTAATAGTATTCCAAAAACAAAGAAGGAACAAAAATAATACTTTTATATCACTTACCTTTATAGTTCAAGTTGAAATCCAGGTCCAGAAAGACATTCTCAAAGAAAAGAAGTAAAGAAATATTTATGACGTTTTTAATGACAAAGAAAAAATAAAAATACTAACTTACCTTTATAGTCTAACTGAAATTTAAGTCTAGAAAGGTGTTCCTTAAAGAAAATAAGCAAAAGAAATGTTAATGATATTCTAAAAATAAAGAAAAATAAAGAAAAACAAAAAAACTTACACTTAACTTATCTTCATAATCTAAGCTAAAATCCAAATCCAAGAAGGTGTCTCCTAAAGAAAAGAAAAAAAGGAATATTAGTAACATTTCAAAAAAAAATCAAATTTACCTCTATTCTAATATACCTTTTAATCTAAGTTATTCAAGTAAATTTTGAAGTCCAAGTTTATGTTCATATTTGATCTTAAAGAAAAAAAGTAAGTTTAAAAAAAAAATAAATAAAATAATCAGATTATCTGATCAATTTGGTCATCTGTATAATATCTGATCAATCTGATATTATCTGATAAATCTATCTGAATTATTCATAATCCATTCATTCATAATCTGAATGATCCATTTTTTGATTAGATCAGATAATGGATTGAACAGATTTTACCAGAGCATACCTCTAAATCAAATGATATACAGAATATTTACAAAATATTAATAGTAAAATAAATGCTTATCATGTTAATAATTTGGTAATACAAAATCTAAATCTAGATTTGCAAGTGTATACTATCGAAAGATCTTCAGAATTAGATACTAAATATCAAGAATTATCAGATTTTTTGTTTGATAAAGACAATTATGATTTTTTTGACCTTAAAGAATATGTTCTATCTAATCTAATGCAAAAATATTGTTATATTAAAGATTTGTAATTTACCTTTCCCATTACTATTTATCAATATCATCAGAGAAATTATCAATTATATATGGAAAATTCCATTATTAGTAAATCAATGATTAGAAATAGAAAGTACATATGTAATATCAATGATTCAAGAAAATTTGCCAAAGTATTTTACTTGTTAAATGAAAAAAATGTATTAAATAAAATACAAATTAAAGCATTTATAAAATTTATTAATTATTAATTAATGTATTTATTTATTTATTTGCTTTAAGTATTCTCTTATTAGAAAGATTACTTCAGCTATGCTTCATACTTTATATTATGATTTAACCAGAAATACTTCTGCAATATCAAATTCTACTTGCAAAACATTGAAAATTGATTATGAATATTGCTTACACTTGAAAATTTATCAATAATTGTTAATTTATAAATCAATAATAGTTTTAAAGGCAAGAAGTTTGATATTTTTTGAAATGAAATGAAAGCCTATTTCAATGGGGTAATTCTGTTATATTATTTATGTATTATTTATTAATATATTGTTTAATTTTAATTTTTTTCTATTTTAAAAAATTATAGAATATTCCTGCAGTTGATAATTGATGATAAGGGTTAACTTTATATATGCCATTAACTATTTTAATTTTGCGATTTATGTAAACTATAACAAAATGATTAAAAGTCAAATATGGTTTTCCATTATCATTAAATATCAGACTTCCATGCAAAAAATGGATTTGTCTTCAATTTTGACTAATTAATCTAATAAATCATTCAGATGAACATTATTGTGTTTGTTTATTTTAGTATTTATGTAAATTTGCTATTTTTTATCGCAATTATGTTTGTTTTATTGCTACAAATGATAAGTATAAAGTTCCAATTGAAGAATGTATAACTACATCAACTGGTATTCATAACAAAAAAAAATATTGTTAATACAAATATAGTTCTTATGACAAGTGATTATGATTTTACTAAACTATCTCTTACTCCTTCTGTATCCTTTTTATTGATATTCCTAAATTAATTGAACATTCATTTTATAGTGGTAAAGTATTTATATCATATAAAGATATACTTTTTTAACTTAGTAATGCAATCAGGCATGCAACTGAATTTTATAATGTGATACAAAGTCATTATAATTCTACAAATATACTTTGATTCTTTATCTTTACACAGATAGTGGTCTAGATCATCGAACAATTTTTGGCTCTATGCAAATATCTCTCCTTTGCTTATTTCTTCATAATGATTTTGATATGCTTATTATATTACGAATTACTTCTTATCATAGTTGGACAAATCCAGTTAAATGAATTATATTAATAATTAATTTGGGTCTTCAAGATATTACAATTATACATGATGAAATGAATTCACATTTGAAAGAAATCTTTGAAAAGGTTGATACACTAGAACAAATTTAAGAAATAGCAAAAAAAATCTGAATTTCAAAAATGAATTAGAAAATTGTATTCATGTCTAAAAATTATTATATATTTAGACTGAACAGTTAGTTTTGCATAACAATCTTTTAAAATTAAAGAACCCATTGATAAAGAAACTATTGAAAAATTTTTTAAGGTAAAATTTGTATATATATTCTTAATAAATATTAATGATATTAATTATAATTTTATTATTTTTTTTATAGATAATTTTTCTTTTAACAAAACATTAAAAATATCTAATATAACTATAGATATCCTTTCAAAAAAAAAGACTTTCAAGAATTTATACAAACATATTGTCAAATTTGGCATTATAATTTTCAGGTACATTTTTTTAATAATAATTTAATTAAATATTAGTATTTAATTAGTATATAAAAATACTAAACTATATTATACAATTTATAGATTAAAAATATAATAGTATAAATTGTAATGTATGTAATATAATTTGCTTCTCACAAAATATTTTTAACAGTATTAATTTTTTCTGAATCTAGTACCCGCACAATGTAAGAATCTGTTAGTTAATAAATTTTAATATAGTAAAACTCATTTTTTTATTATATACTTATTTACAGTAGATAAAGATCATTATATCAACTTTAAAAGTGTATATGATACAGAAACTACAGAACAATATTGTCCTACATTAATAGAAACTATGTTAAATGCTAAAGAGGTATCATCAGCCATTTTTGCAAATACAAAGATTTGCAACATTATCTAATGTTTTTAATATGAAAAATTTTAATGCCTTTATAATAAAAAAGCATTAACAAATATTCAATCGTCCTTTTTTAAATGTATTATTGATAATTGGGATTATAGTTGTGGATCTTTTTTTGTATCTAAAGGTCATGAACTTTATAATATTTTATTTGTACATGAAAAATTTCCTGTGAGTCACCAATTGAATTGGCTTATTATTCATACTGTAAATATAATCCATCTATATGTTATTGGTGTGAATGTGATCAAGAGTTGTTAGAAGTTCCAACATCTATGAAATTAAAATATAAATTTGTATTTTCTATGTGTAACGTATGTCAGTTCGTGACTATACACGCTCTTATTGTATTGAAAGGCCTCTTCTATTGCAGTAATTCCAAAATACTTTTTACTCAGTTTTACTGATTTCCGATATTAATTTAACGTTCAAGACACAAGACTGAAGTTAACGGAACAATAGATCAAATTTTCAAAATTTTTTTTTATAAAAAATTGATGAAATCATCCGGTAAATTTCTGATTCTGATTTACTGCTAAAACGAAATTTTCCAAAATGAGTTGTGTATTTGTAATACGATCTTTACAAGTATGTGGGTTGACGTTTTTAACATCAATCACAAAAGGGAGATTATTTAGGATAACTTGACATTAAAGATTATTTTTATTATATTAGAAAAAAAAAAGGATTTAATAAATCTTTAAAAACTATTATTAATCATTTCATTAAAAGAATTATGATCGTTGGCAAAATATGATTCCTCTCCTAAAACATTAAAGGCACCCTTATAAGCTTCCATAACAATTTTCTTTTCTTCTTTCAATTTATCTATTACTTGTTTATAACTCCATGCTCTTAATTCTGGTGATGAATCGTTTCCATGTGAATTTGATGAATTCTGAGATCGATTCAAATATCCCATTAAAGTACACACATTAGAATATGCATTTAAGGTTTCATGAATTAAATTATTTACACCACTAATTTTTCTTGTATAAGCTCCCGATGTAAATGTGATATGATGTTGATGTTCTTGTGATTCATTACCAACATTTGTGACTCCAAACGAGCTCATTCTATTTGAAGTAGAAGATCCTCCCACTCCCATACTTAAAGTTTTAACTCCATCAACTTTTGCTGATTTTAAAATAGAATTTCTTCCCACACCACCTTTTTCTAGATTTTTATTTAAAGCCTGTTGAAAACCTGCTGGAGGACCTCCCCAACTTTTCCATTTGGATCTTCTTGATGATTCTTTATAAACTGATGAGGTATTACTATTAAGTGAAGGTGATAGCGGAATATTATCAAGCGCGGATAGTCTATTACTCAAACTATTTGCTCCTATCGATGCATTCTGTAACTTTTGATGTATAAAAGTACGTAAATATAAGTTAATCGGTAATTTATAAAACAAAAGCAACTCCAAAAATGTCCATAAAACGAAATCATGCGATGAGGATGAAAATGACGATCGTGAATTATGGAAATTGTTTAATCCCCCCCCTCCAGGTGAAGATGGATGATGTTGAAAATGTAAAAATGACGTTCTATCGACACTGTGATCATTCACTTCACTACTTATATGTACACTTGTATTGCTACCCGCAGGCGTTGCTCCTAAGGAATATAATCCTGATTTGATTTGTGACGTTCCAGCTGTACCTAATATTTGTCTTACGAATTGGCTAATATGAACCCACATTCCTTTCGTTTGTGTTAAGTATTTTTCGGCGCGTACAAGTACAATCTTTAGAGCCGTGAAACTTATTATAAATGTAGCCGCAGCTTCCGCTGTCGTGGGAAGAGATCTATTCGTAACATTTTCGTCATTATTATCATCATCCTTGTCATCAAGATTTTGTTTCGAATTATTGCCACGGAGGGTAAAAGTTGTTTTTGATCTCATGATGGACTCTTTATTACATCCTTTTGTAATATATGATAATAAGCGAGTCCAACTACTTTTCGCCTTCAATGTGGTGGGATGATTGGCATTTGAATTCATTGAAGTAAAGTACACATCTTCAGGCAAATATTGAAGACATATTGGAATCACAATATATGCCATTAATTGGTGTGAAGGTATATATTTGTCTAATTCACTTAAAATATCTTGATCGGAATGAATCATGAGAGCGACGAATAATTTGACAAGACTATTGCACAATTTAAGTTGCATTGACTCGCCATCTTCCCAATCCGGTTTTAACGCAACAGACAGGCCAAATGAAACAAACTTGTCTTTTAGCGTAAAAGACACGATGTGATCATTAATCACAAATCTGCATTTGTCTGATGTTATTAAGACCAGACCTTCGATTAACCCAGAAAAATCAATTATCTTGTAATGTTGACGAAATGATGTTGACATTTGTTTCAAAAAAGACATTATTGGTTTCCTTCCATCTTCAAATGTGGTGTTGAAGAGTAACACATCCGTAATATAATCCTTTAAAAAATTTGTCGAAACCTTTATTTTGACAGCAGCATAGTCTTTGAGCATCAACCTAATGATATTTGCCATCCTATTATGTGAACTATCAGATAACATTCCTCCATATTTTTTGTAAGTTTGCACTAATATTAAGAATTGTCTCTTTATTGTCATTCGATCATTCTGTTGCCATTGTTTGCCGAATGCTTGAGTCGTCACCTCCGAAACAAATGGTTTATTCGTGGATGAATTTTCCATTGTTTCATTATTGTTCTCGGGATTAGTTGTAGAATGAATAATTGGTTTAGAAGATTTTGAAAATTTAAGGAATACTTCAGTTAAAGCTGTCATTCCTTCGTCCACCAATGTACGAACACTAGAAGACTCTGCTAAAAGGTGTGGTATGAGGTATTGCAGTATTTGAACAAATTGCTCAGCTCGGAGCGAGCCAGGATCGTAAGCAATAATAGTTAAAAATAATCTAACTAAATCTTCCAATGAAAATGTTTTATCATTTAACGTTCCTAATAATCCTCCCTTGAATTTTGTTGCGGAACTATTAGCTCGCCTCCTAATTGTATTGTTGAGTAATGGAGGTGGATCAAACGATAACGGATTGGTAATATGTAATTCATCAATCGCATCATATATACCTAGGTAGTCCATGTATTTCATGGGAGTGTTTAAAGCTTTAAAAAGCTCGTAAAGAGATGAAGATAACAATCCTCCAACTTTTGTTGATTTGGCCGACCCTTTTAATATTAATGGAGTTAAACTACCAAGAGTTTGAAAAATGAAAGATTCCCCGTGTACTTGAAAAAATTTATACCATACAAATTTAATAGCTAATCTAATCGGGGGAATTTTTTCTGATTCACAAAAGACTTTGAACAATGCGGGAATAAAGATCGAATATCCTCGATTATTATCAAACAACCTACGAAATCTTGTGATGACCGTCATGTACAAAACTAAGGTTTGTCCCACAATCCCAAAATCATTTGCATGTTCCAATAGAATATCATTAGCACCACTCAAAAATATATTAAGCTCACTACGATCGTTATAATTGGTATTTAATCTTTTTAGCATTGAAAGTAAAAAATTTAACCACGATCTCGCCCGTAACGCTGATATTAATTTAATGTCCTTTTCTTTCCTTGACAAGCCGTCTTTAAAACCACTGTTTCGTTTTTGTGACTTCTCCATATCTGGGAAATACTTCTCCTCTTCGTTTATCGCATCCGATGAATTACCATTAACATTTGTCAAAGGAGTTGGAGCAAAGGTATGAATCATTTTTTTCACGGAATAAACCTCTCTCGGACATTTTATTACATAATTTGTCATAAAATGTATATGTCCAACTCGAAGCATAGCCACTTGAAACATGACGAGCGGGACATCAAGAATATGAAATGTGACTTCATTATCAGTTAATTGTCTCGGAAACATTGAATGTGGGGTTCCATCAGTAAACCAGAATTGTCCATTATTACAGAGAATATTTTCAATTTTGTTTTTCCTGAAATCTCTAACGATTATTTCATTAACCGTTGGAACCATCTCCGCCAATGTAGGGATAACGTAAGTCATTAATCCCAATCCATTTTCTTTGTTATCTCTTGAATACCATTTCAATATACCAGCGAGATGATTGAATAATATATGGGTAAACCCCGGAGGAAAAACATGTTGCATCGAAATAAGGAAGTGTATACTAGTAAGAAGCTTTTTCTGCGTCTCAAAATTAAATGTGCCTAAATCGCTGAAAAACATACGAAGAAATAGAAGAGGATCATCTCGAAGAAAATACATAATAATTTCTTTAGTGAGATTGTATACACCACCGTGCATATCATCCAACAGATCAAGAAGCCTCAAAGAAAAGGAACTTAAAATAGGTACTGATACATTTCTTCTCCTGTTTGCATTTCCTTGTATATGAGATGTAGAAGCATCACCGCGAACATTCCTCCTAATTTTATCACGTGTAATTTGTAACGCTTCAGATTCCTCTTTTTTCTTAAATTCTTCTTCATCAAGATGAAAAGTGGGTAAAAGTGATATTGGTGTTAAAGTACGTTTTGAACGTTCCAAATCAACTTCATCATCATCATCCCATCCTAGCTCTTCTATCTTTTTATTCACAACATAAGATAATGAACCTTTATGTTTTAATTCTTTTGGAGAGTCATACATCATTATTCCTGGAGTACCTAAATCGGTCGGTACGAAAGGTATTGCAGGTGCTTGCGTTCGAAATGGACGTTTTCGATTCGAATCTGATACATAAGGTTGCGATAGAAGCTGATTCCGGTGACCAAACAGAGAGGATATTTTACGAAGAGTCATAGCACGAACTAGCGCATTTGTACTGTAAAACAATCAATTAACGAGATTTACGGATATAAAAGTTAAAAATAATTAATTAATTTACCTGTACAAATCGTTCATAATCAGTTCCTTAACAGTTTCAGGAGATTTTTCACCGCACAGTATGAAAAGGAATGAGGCGGAAGCAAAAGGTTTGTGCTCCCTATCATTTAAGAATTTATTCCATATATGCGGTGCTAACTTAGTAAATTCTTCCACGGTTATAGTGTGATACACGGCAACAAGCAAAGACAAAACCGAAACTGCGGGATCTTCAATAAATGTATTGAACCTATGAAGATGTTGTTTAAGTAATTTAGACGAAATTCTTGGTAGCGCGTTAATTGCAGGGTCTGTTAGTGGAACTACAGCTGAGCTTCGCCTCATATCACTATATGGATTTATGTGAGTGTGAGGTGTTGTAGGAGCAATAGGTACTGATTTCGGTATTATAGGTACTGGGACATCTAAAAATTCGTCCTAATTCCACAAAAAAAAGAATTTTTTTTTTTAAAAAAATGTTCAATTAACAAAATTTATGATAATTTAATTGATATTTTTCAAAAAAGATAATAACCCTGTCATGATCCGAGGAATTCCATCCATCTATTGTTGCATATACTACCCTAATTCTTTCAAATATGAATTCAACTTCATTAAGATAATTTTTATCCATTTCTAACTCAGATTGCGTAACGAATGGATTGTTTTGATTGCTTTGATTTAAATCAGACAACATAGAATCCCTATATATTATTGTTCTAGGTGAAGAATGTATCATCCAATCAATTATTCGCGTAAGCCAACCTGGTCTATGAATTCAGAAATCAGAAATCTATATTAATATATTTAAAGCTCATATCATGTTGAGGTTAAATAAATGCTTATATTTATTTATTTTTGTTTATAAAAAACCACGCATACCGATAGATTGTTTTACAATATAATCTTATTTCGTAGAAAAGATTGCAAAGTAATACACGTAATGGCATTGGAAGTAATTTAGATTTTTCCTATTATAATTATAATTAGTGAATAAGACGGTTAAATAGTAATATTTAGCTTATGAAAGTATAGATAGTACTATATACCTTTGCGATCATAAATATCGATATCCTCTTTTCAAGCTCATTTAAAAAATTTTTAGCAATTACATCCTTTTTTGAATCTTTTGAACGCTACAATTTAACGTATTAATATAAGGGTTAAAAAAATCGAGAATTAAAAAAGTGAAAGTTTTTAAATGTTACATACGGTAGGTTGCTGCAATCTTAATTGTCGAATAATCCAGGCAAATTCCATGATAAGAGCACATTGACCAATTGTAGTCGAACCCCAAGAAACGGAGAGTCTGGAATCATGTTTATTTTCATCAGATTTGGTTGAACCGGGTAAATCACTTAAAATTATAACGCTCATTAATTCAGCATCTTGCATAAATAGTTCAACACCACTTATGTAATTTAATAACGTTGATATAAGATGAAGATATTCTGCCACTTTGGATTCATTATCTGATGCAACACATGCAAGCATTGGTTTATAAAAATGTACGCGATGCTTTAGAGAAAGTGACAAAAGCAGTTTCTTTAAATTTGCTGGTGGTTTCTCGGGATTGACCTTTTCTATTTTCTTCAAGATAAATCAAATATGTAGATGACTCATTTTTTTTTACATTTAAAAAGTTTGAATAATAATGAAAATAAATTAACGTACCTCAAACAAATCTGAAATTGTTTCTTTAACGATATCGTTGCCCATAGAATCATTTATTCCAAACACTAATTGTTCAAAAATAATGATGATCCTATCTAAATTATCTTGTTCGAACTAAATGGTAGAGAAAATGAATAAATATAATCATCAATAGCAAAAAATCAAAATCAAAAATAAAATCAAATAACAAACTTACTACTTCTTTAATAAGCTCAATAACTTCGTTCTTCCACCCTTCGTTCCATAGAGATTCAACGTAATCCTTAGCCAATTTTAACACATCAATCTCTGATGACTGTTTTGAAATCCCGGGTGTAAGTAACCCATCAGAAGTAATCGTTAAATTCTGTGCAGCTGAACCTTTAGATGATGATTTCGAATGTTCATTTTCAGTGCCAGATTCGTTTCCGCTTGTTTTTTGATTACTATGGTTGTTATTTTGTTTATTTGAAGCTGTTAATGATAAACTACGCGTAGGGGTGTCGGACCATGATAAAGAAAAAATAGATACCACTACGTTTATAAGTGATCTTACTACATGTAAAGATATATTCTTGAGATTTTTTGATGGTAAATATTGATTTAGAGTTTGAAGAATTAGATAAGGTAACGAATTATAGGGATTTGATGGATCGATGAATGATGAGATTGGATCAACTAGCATCTCGAACGCAGCTTGAGCAAATAATTGAATAATATGTTCATATAAAGATTGCATTGTTAAGTCGGGAGCTAACCAGTATTTCTAAATAAAACTAAAAATTACTAATAAAATCTAGAAAAGGCAATATATCAAAAATAACTCACCCCTATAAGGTTCTCCATAATATATTTACGTAATTGAACGTCTTTAACTAGCAGACACTTAACTAAACCCTCTAGAAATATGCAACGAGCCAAGCTATCGTATTTGTTGATCTGCACTCTAGCATTTCCAATTAACATCTCATCAGGATCTATCGAAATTAAAGTTCCAGCAGCTAATCGAGCCAAAAATCCATTAACCATTTCAAATAGTTTATTCGATTCTTCTCTCTCTGAACCAGTAACAACCAATGTATGAATAAATGTATATACAAGTGCGTGGATTGCTGTAACGGAAGTAGGGAAATATGAATTCATTGAAGTAGAATTAAGCAAATTTTCTGCTATATCACATACGCGTTCCTTAAAAAAATAAAAAATAAGAAATAAATAAGAATTAAGTTTCAAATGAATTAAGAAAATTCAGAAATTGTATTTTTACCCTGATTACAATATGACGCGTCTCTAATAATTTACAACACCATTGTATTCGCGTAAAATTTTCCTTTAATATTTAATAGAATATTTTCTAATTAAAAAAAAAAATAACAAAAAAATTTTTCAAGATCACGATGGAAATAAAAAAGGGGCATTCATACGTTAGGATCCGCAGGTTTATAATTAGCTCTAATAAATTCAAAAATATCCAATGATTTATTACAGTCATCAACTAAAGAAGATAATATAAAACAACAATTAAAAAAAAAATCACACTAAATTTAATATTTATTACAAAAAATCTTCAAGTCATACATACCATTCACTGGATAATTATAAAATGGCTTGGCCAATTCAGCTAATATTAGTGAACTATTAGGTAACCTAACCACATGTTTCCATTGTTTCAACAATTTACTAAGTTCTGAAAAAAAGTTTACATTATTTCCTTCGCTTCTTACACTATCATTTATTTCCAACTCTGGCAGTTGTTTGCTTCCTTTATCGTTCCCAGGTAAAGGTCCTAAAGAACCTCCAGAGCTTCCATTGCCCATTCCTGTAAAAAGATAACCTCCATGCCTTTTAGCAATTAGTTTCTCGAGATCCTTTGCCAATCTATTTACATCTGACTTTTGCTGTACGGTCGTTTTAAATCTTAACATTTTTAAAGCGTTCCCTTGATAATTTCCAGTATTGTCATGTTTTGAGCTTGATTTTATTAATTGTGGTTGTTCGGCAGCAGAAATTTGAGAATTCGCATCCTCGGAAATATTATTATTAAGTAATTCTGGTGGTAAAGGTGTTGGTGGAATATGTTCATCAACTAATACCAGGTTTCTTAACTTATTCCAATGCATTGGAGCATTATGAAGGTCATTTACTGGATTTATAGTAGTTTTCAAAGAATTTGAATTTAAATTTAAATCATTTCCCTCCTTTTCAGCTTCTAATGGTCTTTGTGGTATATTATCTTTTGAATCTAAATTATAATCGTTTTCTTGTTCCAAATTTTGTGATCCCCTAGCGCTTGATAAATCTGAAATGTAAAATTACCTTGTTAATAGAAAGGATTTAGATTTAAAAAATAACTTAATAATAAAGGTTACTTTGTTTACCCCGAGAATCCATTATTATTATGTATTAAGTAATAAATTAGAATAAATAATGTTACAGGTTACATTAGAAAGAAGATTAAATTCTAATGCTTTATTTTATTTTGCTCGAAAACAAGATAGCTGAAGGTTTTTTGTTGTGTGCAACACGTGAATTAAATTATGGCCCGCCTAGATTGTTGATCGTTGTTTTTTACCATAAATTTTCTTTTTTTTTTTTTTTTTTTTTTTTTTTCATTTTCATTTTCATAAATTACTTTTGTAAAATAAAAATAACTGTATTTATTATCTTTGATTGAGCCCAAACCTTTTTATCTTGGGCACTAATAAATTTTAAATTTTACAAGCATTCAATATTAATTTGATTATCCTATCATGATATGTCTGCTAAACACTTGACAGATATTTATAGTATTGGCAACGCATTTACGAAGATCGGATCAAATTTTTTACAAATCCAAACAAAAAACGCTCAATGGTTTTATAAAACCTCAAATTGGCGATTATCGCTTACTTATCAGCAATCGCATCCGTCCCCGTCCTCCTCTCCACCTCAAAACATTCCACGTGAATTAGAAAAAGTTACGAATCCATTAGATGAATCATTAAATGTAAAACCGAATTCCGAAATTATAATTAATAAGTCATACATACATCAAGAACCTATTAATGAAACACGAGAAAATAATCAACAGAATGTACTTCAAATGTCAAAAATACCCACTTCAAGGGTTAGCCGACTGTTTCATTACGGAGGTATGGATAGAAATTTATCTTATATAAATCTTATCTTGAATCAATTTATTTAGATTGTGAGTTTAGGATTGGCCGTTGGATTAGGAGTGGGAGCCATGGGTGAAGTTATTCGTAGAGCTACGGGTACTTCCAGCATACAAGGTGAAAATTTTATTATTTAGAAAACAATTTGTGCAGGTAATGGATAAAAAAATTAATTTACGGTATTAATTTGATTTTGAAGGTGGTTCCGTATTGATAAGTGAAGCAAATATAAATCGTCTGGTTAATAAATTATCTCGAATGCGTGGAGCCGCTTTAAAATTGGGACAAATGATCAGTATTCAAGGTAAAAATAAGCTATAAATAAAAATATATTATAATTTTCTACTTTATTTAGTATAAATTTTGTAGATAATGACATTCTACCCACACAATTGGAAAAGGTATTAATGCGTGTTCAAAATAGTGCTAATTATATGCCATACTGGCAAATGGAGGTAAGTAGGTTTTGTTAAAGAGAGGGATATATATACACATATCTGTATTCGATATTAACCAATAATTTCTTATTAGAAAGTAATGATAAATGAACTTGGGACTGATTGGCGTGATAATTTCAAAAATTTTGAGCCATTTCCAATAGCAGCGGCATCAATAGGTCAGGTTCATAGCGCACGAATATCGAAGCCTCCTTACATGCCAGTAGCAATTAAAGTTCAATATCCAGGAATCGCAGCTTCAATTGATTCAGACATGAATAATCTTAGAACTTTAGTAATCGTGAGCAATTTATTACCTAAAGGACTTTACCTTGATAATACAATTAAAGTTGCAAGAAGAGAATTAGCATGGGAGACCGATTATGTTAGAGAGGCTGAATGTATGGAGAAATTTGAAAGCTTATTAAAAGATGATAAAGATTTTGTTGTACCTAAAGTGGTTAAGGAATTTACTACAAGGATGGTTTTGACTAGCGAAAAAATGATGGGTGAACCTTTAACTAATGCTGTCAATTATAGCCAAGAGCTTAGAGACCAAGTAAGTTTATTAGAATGAGAGATTTATATTGGAATTAGATTTTGGTTATTTAAATTTTATGAATTTGGTAGATCAGTGAAAAAGTTTTAAGACTTTGTTTGAGAGAATTATTTGAATTTAAATATATGCAAACTGATCCAAACTGGACCAATTTCTTTTATAATGTTAAAACAAGAAAAGTAAGCGATTCAATTATATATTATCTCATCATTATTAGACACTAAACTAAGCTAATGATGTATTGATTAGATTGAATTAGTAGATTTTGGAGCCAGCAGGGAATTTGATTCCAAGTTTGTAGATTCATATTTACAAATTCTAAAATCAGCAACAAAAAGAGATAGGGAAGGGTGTATACATTATTCAGAACAATTAGGCTTTTTAACAGGATATGAAACGGAGGTAATTAGTTTACTTAATGGATTCTATTTCATTTCATTTCATCTTATGATCTAATTCTTTTGATCTTTAATATCATAAGGTTATGAGAAATGCACATGTTGATTCAATATTAACATTAGGGGAACCATTTTCAACAAACATTTATGACTTTTCTAAACAAACAGTAACTAGAAGGGTAAAAGATTTAATACCTACCATGTTAAAATATAGATTAACTCCACCTCCTGATGCAACTTATAGTTTGCATAGAAAATTATCCGGCGTTTTTTTACTTTGTGCTAAATTAGGTGCCAAAGTTAAATGTAGGAATATTTTTGAAGATGTTGTTGGCGAGATTTGAAAGGGCCAAAAATCTTTTTCAAGTAACTAACCTTAATAAATTGGATAAAAAAATCATATAAATCAATTTCGTTATTAAAGAAATGGTTTAGCTATTTCGAAAATCCATATTATGAATAGGTTATTGTGACCAATTCAAATCTCTAAAATATATAATAAACGAAATCACTAAATTCTCATTGTTCTTTTGGATTACTGTTCAAAAGAATTTATTTTCTTTAATTTTCTTTGGTAAATTATGGGAATTTGTGATCGACCAATATTTACCAAATTAAGTTATAATACCTCCTCTGAGGCAATATTATTACAAGGTCATTTGAAAATAAAAAACAGCAAACTGCTCTGATAAACCGAAAATTATTTCGATTTTTATCATAAAGCATCAATTTGAATAGCGAGTGTTTTTTTTTTAACCAATATGTGACATTCATCTTTTCCGTCATATTATTTGAAATTTCGTTTATTAATACTGTATATAGAATTGAATAATAAAACAATCACTCTTCTTGAGATAGAACTTTTGTCATAATATTTAAATTACTTAATATAAAGAAGAATTCTCATTAGCAAATTCTCATAAATTATTATATACAAAAATTGTAAAGCTTTATTTAATTAAAAGCATACTCAAGCAGTAGCTCATCGATTGAAGTCATAAAACAAAAAACTGAATGATTTTCTAATTCAAAAATATGCATTTATAAATAAAATGAAATTGGTTATTCGAATATCAATCCGTATTCAAACATTAGTTCCTTTTTTTCATGAATTAAATCACCTTTTGATAATTAACTTGTTCTTATCATACATATATATATGATAAAGATATTAAAGAGATATCATCAATAACATTTTATTCGAATTCGAATGTAACTCGAGTATCGAATTATATTCAAATTTAACAATTCTCAAAAATATTCAAGATTGCTTTATTATTTAACTCATAAAGACTTAAATGTCATCGCCACCTTATCAGAAAATTTCTTCCTTTACAATCGAAAAGAAAATATTTCATAGCTATTGAATTAAAAAAAAATTGTATCCATTGACCAAAAATTCCTGATAAATATTCCACCAAGGATTGCCACAATAGAAAGATGTCGAGAAGAACTTTAGGCCAGAAAAAGAAAAATCTTTATTAACGATTTTGTTTCAAATGAAGAAATTTTTTCTGTTGCTCATGGTTGAAAAGCCAAGCTTAAATTCCTAGTATTCTTGCATTTGACCAAAAAATATCTAAGTTTTATCGATGGCCACATAAATCTAAATTGTATATGAGCATAATTTCTTTAAATATATGTGAAGCTTTATCTCATGAGTCGCACCAATGCTTATACTATGAATTAATTGGAAAGGGTAGGTGTTTCGGATTGCAAATTTTTAAAGATAATTGATTGCTTCAAAGCACAGTAAACGTGCTAAGCATCCTTTTGTCAATATATAATATTACAGAAATTTTCATATACAAACCGAAAAAATTTACGAATTATACTTATGGTAAATATATGTGACCTGGCAATTAAATCCTGCTACCATTTTTCTCGGTGACGATAATATCGTTTTCAGTTTAATTTCTAAATATGGTAGAGCGCATGCATTTTTTCACGCTGAGAGTTTTGGCAATAGCTTCATCACAGAAGAAGTTATACGTGTTTTATTTTCGAAAGGTGCTAGATATTTGATACAAAGTTTAATAATGTATTCTGGCACTTGCTATTAATAGCTTAGGGAAGTAATATATTTTAAAGATGAAACTAAAGTAACGACATGGAATTATTCCATTCTTTATCAGGTGATCCCCTTGGATATTTTATTATGAACTTGCAACTAATGCAAACGATTCTATTTTTTATCAGCATCATGTCCCCTTGTTATTAATCACGCGCCTGAGAGATATAGTATTTTAAAATATATTGAACTTGAAACTAAAGTAACACATGGAGTTTTTCCGTTAAACCCTAAGTTCCTAGTCACGGGTATGAAAAGCTTCGTCAAATTTTATTCTATTGAGGATTTAATTAGAAAAAAAACAACACGCCAAAATCAACCTAAATATAGATATGTACATTCAATTAATGCAAGTCAGAGCTCATGAATAATATCTACCAAAAAGTGGTTACGAGAACAAACTTTAACTTACATAGTAGCTAGAGCATTATTAATTCATTTTGATTTAGCGACCTTATGGAAAGAAACTGGCTATCATGAGATTTATAACGATTTCATTGACTAGGCGCAATCATGAAATATTTGGGAATGCACTGATGTAGATACTGCTTAAAAAAACTATTAAACTTGGATTTTAATTAACCAATAATGTTATAAAAGGAATTTGAACATATATTGTATCAGATATTGCAAGTTCCTGTATTATTCAAGCATTTAAACTTGAAAGGTACACTCCCCGATCAAAAGTATTGGACCACGTGATTATTGATCATAACTTTTGATGAAATGAATAAAAATGAGCCAAATTTTTTTTCTCGCATAGTTACAAGCTTTTAATATTTGAATATAAAATATTTTTTAATGCCAAAGATCTAAGAATTTATTGAATTTGAACGAGGTGAAATAATTGGCCTCTGAAAATGTGCCCACAGCGAATGAAATATTAATATATTCTTGTCCATTTTATCTCATTTTTTATGTTTCAAATGATGCTCATCATTGTATTTGGTATCGTCCTCATTAAAATTATGATGTAAATTGTTTAATTCCCACATAAAATCAGGAAAATAAGACATAATGGTATAGTGGGTATTTTATGAAAAAATAAGATTGGATTTTTAATACAAGTTTCTGGTAAATTTATGGGTTTTTTGTATACATTGAGATTTAAAAATAGTCTTTTGACTTTTATTGATAAGTTAGGAACTGAGTTAGAGTATATTTTTAAGTACAGTTCATCGGGCAAAACAATTAAGCAATAGATAAAAATTATGGTAATTCAATCTCAAATATTTTATGGTCTGCATAGCCAGCTGACTTAAATGCAATTGAATATCTATAGGATATTTTGAAAAGAAAGGTTTGTAAACATATTCTACATCCAAAAATTCTTGGAGTATTAATGATGGTTTTAAATGAAAAATAGAATGAAATTGAATCTGACATTTTAGAAAATTTAGTATAAAGTATACTGAAAAGGGTTTAAGCTTTAATAGATAACAATGGTTATTCAACTAAATATTAATTTTTTTATAAAAAATTTGTTTTTACTTATTAAAATTTTTCATAATTAATAAATTAAAGTTGGCTATTAAATTTAAAAATTGCGATAATTTTAAAGTGGTTCAATACTTTTGACCAGGGAGTATATCTTGAGAAACTTGATTATTAGAATTTAATTAAAGAATTAAAAGCTTAGAAAATACACAATATAACATTATAAAGTTTGATTTTTAATCAATTAAAATAAATTAAAAAAAATAGAATTCTATTTGATAATAAACTTTTAAAAATTGTCAATTTAAATCAGAGGTTAAAGAAGTTAAAATTATAATACTCAAGTGATAAGAAAATTTTATCTAATTATAAATAATTATCTTAAATATATTTTATTTAGATTAGAAATCAGGTTAGATCAAGTAAATAGAAAACTGACGAAATTTGAATCATATCATACTGTACTGATCCTATAATAAAAGCTATATATACAGTTCTCGAAAAAAGTAATGAGAATAAAATGTAGTGAAAAAAAACTTAAAAAATTTTCGCAATATACAACTTACAAAAAAATCCTATCACGTGATGATACAACAATCATTTTTGTTTATAATGATCATCATTATTTTTGTTTTGCTTACATTTTACTAAGGTTATACCAGACACATAATAGCTTGAATTACATTAAAATAATGCTATACTATAATAACTTCTTTATGAGAATATGATACTTATAATACTTAAATTTTACATAAACTAACTTCTATTCCTCTTTCTACTATTTATAAATATATCAAAAAACTCAAAAAAAATATCACTTTAGACCCTTTACCTTAATCTGAAAGATCAAAGAAACTTTCTCCTAAAATTACCATTATCTTGATCAGCTTATCTTAATAAACAAATTCTTAACATGCATTGTGCTTGCAAATATTTTAAATATTAAGTATACTAACCTTGATATAACTGACCGCATAGTGCTTAATAAGCTTCATAACTTCAATTATATTTGTATAGTTCCAAAATCTATATCCCTTCTTACAGACAAATACAAATAGAAGCGTATTAAATTTGCTATAAAATATAAAAATCAAAATTGGAATAAAGTCATTTTTTTCGACAAAGTTATATTTCAGATATTTAGAAAATATCTAAAAGTATTCTACAAAGCTAATATAAAACTTTTACAAAAGCCTATAGTAAAAATCCATACAAAGTTTATGTGTGAAATGCATTTTCAATTAAAAGTTAAATTGGTGTTCTTCTTTTTACTGAAAATATGGATGATATCTTTATCATAAAATTTTAAAGGAAAATCTCTTTGTTACTACTAATTCTATTATGGGAAGGTCTTAGGTATTTCAACAAGATAATGATCTCAAGCACACAGCCAAGAAAATCAAAAAATTGCTTGCAGATTATTATCTAAAATCGATGGACTGGCTATCAAACAGCCCTGATTTCAATTCTATAAATTTATGGGAAATAATGAAGAGCTGTGTAGAGAAAGAGGTTAATAAACTGGTGACTAAAAAAGTTCAATTACTGTAGATATTTTTACGAGATAATTCAAAAAAATGGGAGAAAGTTAAGCTTAAAATTTTTGTTAATTTAATCTATAGTATGCCATCAAAATTAGAATAGGTAATCGAATAAAATAGTGATAAGGTAGATTACTAAATAATTTTTTGGGATATAATCATAGTATTATGAACAACTTTTTATAAATTTTTCATGTATTTTTGACCTTTATTTATTACATAATAAATAAAAATATAATTCTCATTAATTTTTTTGAGAACTGTAGCTAATTCAGAGCTCTAAATTAAATATTTC